GAGCTTGGAGGAAGTGTCGCTTGAAAATTAGCCAGCTCTCTCGGGCCCTCCTACCTTCCAGAGACCTAACCCACGGGACTCCTCCAAGTAGGTCTTTGAAGAGGCTAAAATTTGCTCTCCTGAAGTCCAGGGTTTTAATTCTACTTACTACCCTGCTTCTTCCATGCAGGATCCTGAACTCCACCATCTTGTGGTCACTGCAGCCAAGGCTGCCCCCAACTTTCACATCCCCAACCGGTCCTTCTTTGTTTATCCGCACAAGGTCCAGCCAGCACTTTTGTTGGCTCCTCCACCACCTGTGTCAAAAAGTTGTCATCAATCCCCCGCAGGAATCTCCTAGACTGTACGTCCCTAGCTGTGTGGTTCCTCCAACAACTATCAGGGTAGTTGAAGTCTCCCATGAGAAGCGTGAGGCGTGAGGCTACTTCCAGCTCTCTGCAGAAGGCCTCATCAACTTCCTCTTCCTGATCAGGTGGCCTGTTGTAAACACCCATGACAGTGTCCTCCACATTAGCCTGCCCCTTAATTATTACCCATAAGCTCTCGACTTGTTCTTCATCCACCCCTGCGCAGAGCTCGATACATTCCAGTTGCGCTCTCACGTAAAGAGCGACTCCACCCCCTCGCCTCCCTGGTCTGTCTTTCCTGAAAAGTGTATAGCCATCCGTGACAGCATTCCAGTCATGTGAGCTATCCCACCATGTCTCTGTAACTGCAACGAGATCATGGCTCTGCGACGGCGCACAGATCTCCAGTTCTTCCTGTTCATTCGCATGCTGCGTGCATTGGCATACAGGCACTTCAGAGAGGAGACCGGGCATGCAGGTTTCTCTGGAGGGGTGTAACAGGATTCACCAGAGCCATGCACACCTTTGACATGGTTGGCCTTCTGGTTCTCATCATGAGAGGCAGCTAAGGAACCTCTGATGCTGCTCTGGTTGGCCCAGATTATTTCCCAGATGGGTGCAATGGCATGAGCGTTGCCATTTTTGACCCTAACCCTCCATGTCTTTCAGTTTAAAGCCCATCTCACTAAGTTGGGCAGCCTGCTGCCAAAGATCCCCTTGCCTCTTCTGGACAGGTGGACACCGTCCCTCCCTAACAGGTTATAGTCCCCAAAACCCTTGCAATGGCACCAGCCATGTAGTCAGAAGTTGATCTGCATTACTCATCTATTCCTGGCTGCCCCTTTTCCTGCAACTGGTAAAATGGATGAAAAGATAACTTGGGCACCAATATTTTTCACCTGCACCCCCAGGGCCTTATAGTCTGCCTTGATTTTGTTCAGATTCTGGCTTCCAGTGTCATTCATGCCTACATGAGTATCAATGGATAGTAGTCTGTACTTCTGACTAGCTGTGGCACCCTCTTGGCAGCATTTTGGATCTTGGCTCCCAGGAGGCAGCACAGGTCTCATAACTCCCTGTCAGGTCAGCAGATGGGCAGCTCAGTGTCCCTCAGCTGAGAGTCACCTACTACAAGCACTCACCATTTCTTTTTGTGATACCTACTGTGTGCTGCTCACACAGTTTCCCCTTGCAGACCTTGCTCGTGGGTGTCTATAGTTGTCCCCCAGATCCAGAAATTCATGTCAGAAAAGAGGCAAAACAGACACCATCACAAGATTTCAGTACTACCAGGTAGTAAATTTCTTTCTTTATAAACTAAATTTCAGTCACTTCAAAGCAATACCATCTTCCTGTGAGTCCTATGTCCTCAAAATGTGAAAGCCATATTTAAATGTTGGTTTTAAGTGAACCCAGGACACTCTGCTTATTTTTAGTTAGTGAAATGAAGATTCCCAAGCTCTTAATTGAAATGCAACCATCTTGGCACTGAGAAGCTGCTACGAATCACCGATATCAATGCAAAATACAGCTTTCTGGGAGAGGATTTGAAGAATAAATTATCCAAAGGGGGTTCAGACAGGCACAAAGGAAAGCTTTTAGGTTTTAATGTGGTCAAGTCACTAGAAATGGGAAAGTGAGTCTTTAGCACCTAAATGTGCTGTAACTGAGTTGTATTACTCATCAGAGCAGCACCTTTGGGGCCTGAGCTGCCACAGCTATGACAGCACTCAGACATAACATCTTCAGCTGCTGCTTTTCCTTGTGGGTCCCCCTTTAATTGCATTCCCTGCCCAGCCCTTATGCTGTGAAGACAGATGTCTGTTTAAATACATAGAAAAGGAAAAAAAAGGCAGCCATCTTAATGGAAGAAAACAATGCTGCTGAAAAGAGATGCTACTTACTGCTGTTACATCTCTGAAGAATTGGGTGGGGTCTCCAAGTCCAGCCACAGACAACAGAGGAGCACTGGCAGCTAATGCTCCGTCCACAACGTTTGGGTATTTCATCCGCATGTAAGCGCTAAGCATTCCTCCGTAGCTGCCACAAGAGAGTCAAAAGAGTTACTGGCTCTAACAGACAGCTTATAACAAAGTCCAAAAAGTTCAGGCCAGCATTCCTAGGCTCACCTAACCCAAGGCAACAAGAAGCTTATGGATATCTAGTAGATGCCATTCTCACATGAAAAGATCCAGTTACGGTCAATGAGCAGCACACAGTATGTCCTTACTCGCCTTTCCCAAAATGCTCACACAAACTCCAGCGGGAACACAGCAGCCCAGTTTGCTCCTGCAGCCAAATGTAAATCCTGCCTCAACATTTAAGTCTGCATCATCCTGAGTGTGTCCTGACAGCTTCAGGGCAGAACCAAGTGGGGCTGAAGTGAAGCTGGCACTGTTCAATAGAGGAAGGAGGCACATTTTGCCTACAGGATTATAAAGTCTAGCTAGGCTCTCAGCAAAGGGTGTCCCTGAACGCTACAGAATATGCAGCCCTCTCTAGTGCTGGAAGTGGAGAATAAAACTCAAAGCCAGTTGGTAGTGTCGGTGCCGGGGCCGCAACCTGCAGATATATCAAGGATTGCTAGATAAACCCAAGGTGACAAAAGTTATTCACATGCCAATGTTTGTGGAGTTACTCTGAGGTCACTCCTGGGGGTGGCAAAGGACATCCCCAAAACACAGGTAACACCCACTCTGACTCCAAGCTTACAGTACTCTCCTCCCTCCCCACAACCTCAAGCAGCTGGAGTAAATACCATTCCCACATCACCACACATAAAGCAATATGCTTTTCTCTAACCCTGGTCTTGGAAACAGGCATTAGCTGAAACCTGCCACAAGTAATTTCAGGTTAAAATTTGGCAAAATTATAAACAACAAAAGAGTTGGGCTTTTTCTCCTCCCATGGGAAATACTGTGCTGCTCGAAGACTGCCAGACTTAAGTATTCTCCATGTGGATTTACTGCTGTTCAGGGCTGCTTCAGACAAGTCTGATTTACACACGTGGAGCCCAGCCAGCAGATTTTGCCTAATCCTTCTCCCACCTCCCCAGAACAGCTCCTAGGCCTTTTTACACTAGCTACTGTCCTGATAGTCACAGTACAAACACCTCTGAGATCAACAGTCCAGCCACCACCACAGTGAACTGGAAGCTTAATGATAACTGTCAGGTCAAATGCTTATTAGCTCACTGCAACTGAATTAGAAACCCTGTACTTGGTGGAAGCCTTTTGGAGGGAAGCATCCCTCTATTATTGAGCCTGTAGTGACAAGACAAGGGGTAACAGGTACAAATTGAAAACAGGGAGGTTTAGATTAGACATCAGGAAGAAATTCTTCACAGAGAGGATGGGTGGGGCACTGGGACAGGGTGCCCAGAGATGTTGTGGATGCCCCAGCCCTGGATGTCTTCAAGGCCAGGCTGGATGAGGCTTGGAGCAACCTGGTCTAGTGGAAGGTGTCCCTGCCCATGGCAGGGGGGTTGGAACTAGATGAGCTTTAAGGTCCCTTCCAACCCAAACCATTCTGTGATTCTATGATTCTATTACAAGCAGGGGGAGCCATTCAAGAGACAGGGATATCACACCAACACAGCTCTGAGCTGCAACAGAGCAAGCACTTTGGGGAAGGACTTCTGCTAGGAAGCCAGGAGCAACCAAGCAGCAGGTTGCAGAACAGAATTATAAAGAAGTCTACAATGAAAATAACTGGATGCTGTTAAAGAGGCTGTGTTTAATAAAAAACTGGGTGACTCCTGGAACGCCTGTTTAACCAATTACTAGCTTTCTGTATTTCCAATGTAAAATGTTCTGATACTGCAAGAGGAGAGGGCTAAAGAGAATCTCCATCCTTTATTGGATCTGGGGGGCAACATAAGAGAAAGGATGAGGAAAAGGATGAGGTACCTAATGCCTTATTTGACTCAGTCTTTAATTGTAAGACCAGTTGTTCATGGGGTACCCAGCCTCTTCAGTTGGAAGAGAGGGAGCAGAACGAATCCATAATCCAAAGGGAAATAGATACTGACCTCTGCACCACTTAGACACACACAAGTCTATGGGGTTGGATGGGATCCACCCAAAGGTACTGAGGGAGCTGGCAGAATAGTTTAGATCGGAAGGGACCTTAAAGCTCATCCAGTTCCAACCCCCCAGCCATGGACAGGGACACCTTCTACTAGACCAGGTTGCTCCAAGCCTCATCCAGCCTGGACACTTCCAGGGATGGGGCATCCACAGCTTCTCTGGGCAACCTGTTGTGCTTACCGAACCACTTTCCATCATCTATCAGCAGTCCTGGCTAATCAGGAAGGTTCCAGTTGAGTGGAGAATAGCAAATGTGATGCTGGAGGATCCAAGCAACTACAGGCCTGTCAATCTGACCTCAGTTCCACTGAAGATTATGGAGCAGATCATCTTGCATGCCATCACAAGGCACGTACAGGACAATCAGGTGATGAAGCCCAGTCAGCATGGGTTTGTGAAAGGCACGTCCTGCCTGACTAACATCATCTCCTTCTGTGATGAGGTCAACCTGCTCAGTGGATGAGGGAAAGGCTGTGGATGTTGTCTACCTGGACTTCAGTAAAGCCTTTGACACCATTTCCCAGAGCATTCTCCTGGAGAAACTGGCTGTTCATGCCTTGGGTGGGCACACACTTTGATGGGTAAAAATCAACTGGTTGGATGGCCGGGCCCAAAGAGTGAATGGAGCTAACTCCAGTTGGCAGCCGGTCACACATGGTGTTCCCAGGGCTCGGTACTGGGACAGTTCTGTTTGACATCTTCATCAATGATCTGGATGAGGGGATCGAGTGCACCCTCAGTAAGATTGCAGATGACACCAGGTTGGGTGGGAGTGTTGATCTGCCTGAGTGCAGGACAGCTCTGCAGCGGGATCTGGACAGGCTGGATAGATGGGCCAAGGCCACTGTATGAGGGTCAACAAGGCCAAGTGCCAGGTCCTGCACTTGGGTCACAACAACCCTCGGCAATGCCAATTGGGAACCCAATTCCCAATGTCTTGGGAATGAGGGTCTGAAAAGCTGCCTTGTGGAAAAGGACCTGGGGGTGTTAAGGCCAACGGCATCCTGCCCTGCATCAGAAATAGTGTGGCCAGTGATTGTCCCCCTGTACTTGGCACTGGTGAGGCCACACCTTTAATCCCGGGTTCAGTTATGGGTCCCTCACTACAAGACAGACACTGAGGGTCTGGAGTGTGTCCAGCAAAGAGCAACTGAGCTGGGAAGAGTCTGGAGCACAATTCCTGTGGGGAGGGGCTGGGGGGGCTGGGGGTGTTCAGCCTGGAGAAGAGGAGGCTCAGGGGAGACATTATCACTCTCTACACTCCCTGAATGGAGGGGGCAGAGAGGGG